CCCTCCCCATTAAAAATACACCATCTCCTATTATCCTGGTTTCGACAAGAATGTCGTTGACTCACAGGCAGGCAAGAGCCATTTAAAAAATCCAAGAAATGAAACTACAAGATGGGTCGAGTGGTTCAAGCGGAGATTGCTGAATTGTGGGTAATCAAATTGTAAGCACCAGTTTTACGTTAAGGTTTGTTTGTTTTATCTTCGTATGTGTTGTTGAATCTTTGATTTTTTTTTTTTTTTTTTTTTCTTTTTTTTTTTTTGGCAACTCTGCCAAAGACTTCACGGGCATCATTCCCCTTTCCATTCCCAGTGAGGACCAGAGGAAGAGTGCCCAGCGTTGTCAGTCCTTTACTGCTCTTCACTGGCATTTTCCTTTTTCGGCAAATATATACTGTAGACGCATATAGATATGGAAAGATTTTTTTCGGTTGCTTTGTTTTACACCTGGTTGTCCTTCCGTATTCTGGAAAAAACCATGACAGGACACAGGAGTAACAAGAGAAAGCTTCTTGGCAGAGCTTCAAGACGAAGACGAACAGACAGTAGAACTCCAGCTCAAAGATGAATGCTACAGGGGAGGTTCCTCTTCCATGGGTTCATCATCGGGTCTGAGCAGGATGGGAAGTGGGGGAAGAGAGAAAAGACAGTTGAGCATGACAGAGTTGGAAAATTTGTGGTGCTCACAAGTCTCACACCTTACATTCCCGTCACCTTCCCACCCAGGCTGTTGTGCTCAGCTGGCTCACCTGGAATTAAAACTTGTCACCAAAAAGGTTTTCACTTGTGCAATGCTACCATTTTTTGCAGCAAAATCAATTTCCTCTTGTGGTCTAAAACCATGTTCGGCTCCAGTTGGAGCAGAGGGGTGAGACATAGAGTGCACCATACTAAGGTCATGCATGGTGTTCATGGCTGTACTCCTGCAGCCCAAGAGGGCATTAGAGAACCCATGGAGGACAGGAGGTGCGGGAACTGTGCGTGCAATGGTTAAAAGGAGAGGATTAACCCAGAAGGCTGCTCACCACAGCTCTTCCTGCCTGGGCAGACACTGAGATGTGATGATAAATGGGAAGGAAAGCAACTCACCTCTTCTCAGCTGGCTTCACGCCTACTGACAGAGATGCCATGGCTGTTACTGTCTCTGCCTCCTCGTTCTCGCACTTCTGGGCCTCAACCAGGGAGTACCCCACTGTGGAGGCATAACGCTGGAGTGAATGCCAATACTTGCCTAGGGAGAGAAGAGGCAGTTAGGGCACCTGCACCATAATGGGTCCAGCACCACACTCCCGCTTTCCCAAGCTCAACAGATGGCTGAGACCTGCCTGGGGAAGGCTCATCATGCCTATGCAACATGCAACCTTGATCCACACTCCCTCCCACTTCAGGGACCATCTTGAGGTCCCAGGGCTGTGGAGGAAGCCACAGGTGGAAGTGGGTTACTGGAAACACATGCCAAAGGAGCCCTGGCGTGCAAGGTGGGGCCAGAAAGACCCACTCCTGTGAGCTATATGCCATGCTATGGTATTAATAAATGGAGCTGCAGTGCTGCTGTACCTTGAAGAGCTAGGTTTTAAATCCAAAAGGTATTGAAAGCAATAAACATGCAACTGCACATCCCTTAAGGACACCTCGGATGTCAAACCAGAGCTGAATCACTGTCTGGCAATGAAAGATGCTCTTCTCCCTTGGCTAGGGAAGAAAGGTGGGAGGCAGAAACTGGATTTTTAAAAGGACAATTGTACAGGGGGTGCTGGAGGTGAGGATCCAGGCTGCACAGAGGTGTACAGTATCCTTCTGCCTTGATGGAAAGGGGCACTTAGGGCTCAAAAAAACCCCTGACATTTCCTTTTTCACTTCAAAACCCTCAGAAACTTTTAGACCTAAGGAAAAATATGTGAGAGGCAAGGATGCAGTCCAGGTTTGGACTGGACATCCACATGCAGTTGCTAACTGCCACATTCTTTTTGTAGGCAAATCACCCAAGACTAAAGAAGTCTAAGTTGTATTTATTTTGTATGTCGGCAGTTTGCCACCCTTTTTCAGTGGAAAGAGCGCAGAGAAGGCTTCAGAGTGAGAGAACAAAAGATGTTCTCTTGCCTCCTAGGCAGGACACACCAAATTTGCTGGTACCCAAGAAACCACAGCAAAAAGGCTGAAAGCAAGAACCTGTACAGTGAGGCCAGCAGATGGGGAGGAGGGACTTGTTTTCAAACATTTTTGCTTCTCCTGTGTTGGGCAGCATATCTGACGGTCTTATTCAAAGCCCCTTTTAATTTGCTGTGCTCATTTAAAAAAAAAAATAAAAAAATCACTGGCTGGCTCAAGGTGCTGCTGAGGTGACACACCAGTGCTGAGCGAGTGCAGAGCAGCTTCTGGAAATGGAATTCAGAAATTTGTAAAGCCACCAAGCATTTTTCAGGGGGAAAAAAAAATGCTTTGGTGTCTTTTAAGCTCCATTTTTGCCCTATAAAATGGAGACTAGCCCCCTCCAGTTTTAGACCACAAATGTTTGAAGCAGGAAGATGTCAGGACCTAGTGGTGGGATTCACATGTTACTCAGGCTCTTTCACTCCATCCCCCAAGAATGTCCCCAGGAAAGCTTCAAGCACAATGATTTTAACCTCCCCAGCTAAATAAACATACAATATTAGCATCTGCATGCAATACTCTGTTTAACTTTAACCCCTATCTATCCTTGGTTAACGTATGCCACAACACGCAACATGATTTCTATTAATTGGAGATACCTGAATTGCTTTTGAAGAGATAAGGGCACACTCTAAGTGCAGCACAGCCTGTCCTTTACAGAGATTTTAAAGGTTGTAATGCTAATTCCTCCTCAAGCACCAAAGCATTTCCCCAATGGACCATTCCCCATGTATCACTTGATCCATTAAGACAAGCTTGTGGCTGCACAAATCCAGTTCGCTGTGCAGTGGCCACCCATGAACTAGGACGAGGGAACATGGAGTTGCCAGGATGATGGAGAACCAGTGGGGTGCATGGGGCTATACTCACTATGTATCTCGATCACTTTCTCCATTGAATGCACCGCATTAGCATTTGCTCTCTGCTGGAAAACCTTTTCTGGAAGAGGATCAAGCTGGAAAGAGAGAACACCACCAAAGAAATGTTATCTCATGTTGGAGACCAGGCGTTAAGAGTGATTTAGCAAGTGGCTCTGCAGTATCAAGCCTCCACCCCACTCCCCCGATGAAGAGGCCCTATTACACAGACCAGAAAAGTAAGGCAAATGATGTTGGCTGCTTTTACAAAGGATCTTTTAAAACTCTTTCTTGGATCTACCTTTTTGCAAAGTTTTCACTATTAAAACAATGTGCAAATAAAAGGGACTTAAAAATACGATAACAGCCACACTTCTGGTTTTCTTCTAAAGAAATAAAAGGGGTAGCTTTTTGATTCTTCTAAATGCCTAATTCAATGTTTTTATTAACTCTTAACTGAAAAAATATGTACCTGAAGAGTAAATAGCCTAATTTTGGTACAGGGAAACAGGAAAACACTGTTTTAAAGCCACTCAGCATGACTATAACTTCAGTCACTATCGATGCCTCCTACCACCTAGTCTTGCCAGAGCAGAGCATTAGATCTGTATGTTTATTTTTAAAAAAAAAAATTTCCTTGAAGTTACCAGTAAAGCTTATAATTGGGTATTAAAATTTAGGCTTTTTGATGTGGTTTCTTTCATTTGTTCTTTATACAAAAAGGCGACAATAAGAACGTGCTGCTGGTATTGAGCTTTTAAGTTGAAAGATGACACAGAAGGCCTCCCCAAAACGTTCACTGTAAATGCACATAACAAGCAGGTATCTTTCTGGGCTTCGTTGCTTTTATGCTGTAAATGCCAGTGGCACGTAGACCATTTCTGGTTTGCTCTAACATACATCCCACCCTCCCAACAGCACGTAGACCATTTCTGGTTTGCTCTAACATACATCCCACTCTCCTGATGGCAGCGCTGCCTTTTTTACCAACTGTTAACAACAATAAAATATCAAAGCACTAAGAACAATTTACTTAACAAGGAACATGGCACAGTAACAGTATCTGCATTTTGCTAGAGAGAGATGAATTAGGAAATGCCACTCTAAAGAAGCTCCTCTAAGTCCTTCTCCAGTTACCCCTCGAAGTTCATCTCCAGTTACACTGGAGCAAAGCTTTGTGGTGTGGATCTACCTCTAAAAGCCTGTATATGAAACCCGTATGAGCACTACGATGCTGATGGAGTTGTTTTGCAGGACTGCAATGGCCAAGTGCTGGTTTGGATGCAGTTCCCACCAGCAAACCTGTGTTACCGCCAGGATGGACTACTCCAGCCTGTGGGTGTGCAGTAAGGTGTCCCAGCAAGGAGGTGGTTTTGCCACTGGACCTACATCTCTATTAGAGGTCCCGGAGATCCCAGCTGTACCAGTCAGGGAGCACACACCTCTGCCGACTGAGCAGTGCTGGCTATCAGCAGTATCGCAGATCACTGAGACCATGCTTTGATTGGCACAGCTGTCTTAAATAAAGAAATAAAACTGCTCCTCAGCACTCAAGAGCAAAAAGCTTCTGCAAACCTGAGACTTGCTATATAGAAAACTAAAGCCCAAACTAGGTGCACACACATATTGCTTGTTTTCAGATGCAAGCTCTCCTACCACCCAGGACAGAGTTGCCCCTTTCGTTTTGCAGTTGGGAGGTTACAAAACTACCAGGGGATGCAGTTTACCTTTGCATCAGCATGGACAAATGCACCTATGGTGACTGACGGACAAAAACTCCAGAGCTCCCTTCTGCAACAAAGGACAATGCTTTTCCCTTTTCTTTTTAGAGGCATGAAAGCGCTCCGGCAGCCAGGGCAGGGGAAAGGAGTGAGAATGAGAAGAGGGGGAGGGCAAGAGAAATGTCCTCTCCTTGCTTGATGGTGTTTCCTCCTATTTTCTTGGAGATAGTTTCCTCTCACCTGATAGAAAGCTCTGCCCATATCCATCCTAGCCCCAGCAGCCTTTGGTCAGCACAGAAAAAGAGAAATTAGATCAGGATGCTGAAAACCGCATCCTTCTTTGTGGTGTTTTTTACCCTGCTCGTCTGGGAGGTGGGTGCTGCAGAGCAGCAAGCTGGGGCCCTTCTGGTGGCAGAAAACATCAGTAAAAATGAGCCTTGAACCCGCTCCTCCGTCAAGACCACAGGGGTCGCATACCCTGGCAAAGTCCGTTCTGCAGCGAGAGCATACGTGTGCTCCCCCAGAGGAAGGCACCCGCCAGCACTGCTGGAGGGTTGTTTTAGTTTTTGTTTGCTTTCCTTTAAAAAAGGAAGAGTAGAACACCTTCTTTGATTGGGTTACTTCTCTCACCTTGAGACGACTGTCCTCTGAAAAGCTGAAACTGTCCCCTTTTCCCTTTATGAAGTTATTAAACATCTTATTGTTGTAGCTACAATGCTTGATTTGATTCCCACTCAGCAAGAAACTTGGGCTCAAAATCAACCCACAGTTATTGTTAGTTTATTGTTTCTTTTTTTCCTGAAGAGCCAGTGAAGACCCTGAGATACATTTGTGTGGCTCCTCTGACAGCAGGCAGGAGTTAGGGCTGCCTCCCTCTGCGGCACCAGCATGCCTCCCCAGGAAAGGAGACAGATCTGGAGCAGAGATCTTTCAATTTATTAAAAAAAAAAAAAAATAAGAAAAAATAATGCAAAATTATTAAAAGGTCTTCCAGGGGAAGGAGATGGGGTTATTTGCTTTCAACAGATGACACTGGGGAGAATATTGGTTTCCTCTGGCACAGCAGGGATGTCTGCTTGGTAGGTAAGGATGCCCCAGCAGAGCAGCTCTACTTGGCTCACGTACATGGTTAATGGCTTTGATTAGACTCACGTGAGCTCAAGACATCTCACAATCAACTAGATACGCAAGAAAAGCTTTCTGCAGATCTGATGCTTTCCAAGCCCATCTTTTTTTTCTTTCTTCGAACATAAATTTGTCATAGACCTCCAAGGTTGGGTATCCAAAACAAGAGATGTCCCCAGGTGTTAACTATGTCTGAAAATGCTGGTCAAGGCATTCCTATCCAGGAATACTCCCCAGCAAAGAAGCAGCCACAGTTTAATAGTTAAAAAAAAAAAAAAAAATCTATGGCAAGGTTTAACTGCAACTTCTGTTCAAAGCCAAGAGAAGCTCCAGCCAAGAGATCTGCTCTTGAGACCACATGGCAGCCATTTGATAGGTACTTCATGAGGACTAGAAATTGCTCTGTTCCAGATTTAATAATTACGGATTGCACTTTTTTATAAAATCTCCACTCCAAAAATAATTTTGGCCCAAACCAGGTTCTGTGTGACATTAAGTGAAGGCAAAAGCAATTCCTGGACAAATCTTTAAGTAAGAGCTTTCTAACGCCTCTTGGTTGATATTGATAGAAAGCACGCAACATCAGGCAGCCCGTCCACATGTGTGAATCATTTCCATTGCACGCTCCTCCTCCCGAAATAATGCTCAGGGACAACAGCCTCACCCACCGCTCTCCTGGAAAAGCAAGGAAATACCTCTGGGCATTAGGCAAAGGTTTTAAAGCAACTACTTATTATCACCTTCTTGTTTATTCGGGATGTCTGGAGTCACACAGCGGACACACCTCCGCTACTTCTGTGTGAAAAATGACAAAGCATTTGTAGCAGCAACAGGCAGACAGCGCTGTGAGTGCTGCTGAGCTCCAAGATCACATAACCATGTATCCCAGCACGTATCTCCCATCTCTCTCCCTGCTGTTTGCAGCTCCAGTGGCACAGGGGCTCCACACCCTGCTCCAGGCACGGTGCTGGCACGTGTCCTAGCCTGGGGCAGTGTACGCTACTGATGCTCCCGTGCTTAAATAGCAGCATCGCTCCCTGGGAGCAGACAGTTCATGAACAGCATTTGCCATGGGGCAGAAGTTGGTTTGAAGGGTAAAGGCTGGTGATTACCCACGATGGAGTTGAGCAGGTCTGCACGGTTGCTACCTCCTCGACCTCCAGTGCTGCTGGCACACTGCTGTCAGGGGCTGCTTTAAGTAATGGGAGAGGAACAGTGGCTTACTGGTCTAAATTATCATTATCAGGTCTTCCCCGCATTATGCCTGCCTTCAATTTTTCAAAAGTTGTGTTAGTTTTGCACAACTAAATTTTTAGCTAAAGCAATGTACATCCATTTTCAAGCATCCTCGTCCGGCACTAACTCATTTCACATTAAAATAATCTGCAGTAAAACTAAAGCTCTGTTTTAATTTCCTGGACAGTTGGGAACAAGCTGGCTCTTGCCTTTGCATAACGCTTTTTCCAAAGCAGGAGTTTTGATCTCTGCCGGTGAACGCAGACACTTTGGGGACTGGCACTGTTCCCCTCATTTCCTACCATTTCCCCATGTAACTCTGGCCCCGCTCTTCAGCCAGCAAACCTCCCTGCAGCCTGTCGCCGGCCGCAGCTGGCTGTCTATGTGCATGCATGCAAAATTGTCTAGCACGCTGTATATCAAACTTCATCAAAGGGCCATGGGACAAAGCAACAGCAGTTCCCTCCAACTTCCTCGCATTAAAAGGTTTTTATAAAAGACCTTGATAAAACTAGTGTTTCCTGCTTTTTGATGTGCGGGTAAGTCGGAGAACATTATCATGATATCTGTGCAGCCTTAAAGCCCACCTAGGAAAAGTAAGAACAGGTCCATCTTTAAGTATTTTAAAGCACTTTATAACTGTCCTGATTCCATGATTTAAAAAAAAAAAATGTCTTTTTACCTTTAAGGACCAATATTCACTCTGCTAAATGAATCACTCTGGCAGCTGACAACATCCAAGCTATCGTGAGCGCTAAAATCTCCCCGAAGCCTTGCACTTCCAAACACATTTGTGGCTCGGATCAAGCGCTTATTTATTGCACGCAGATCCTCACACCACATTGTGGTCACCCGCCTGTATCGTAGGAGCATGTTAAGCAAGAGGAATGACATCCTTCATGCGTCATTTCCTCTGTCTCCCCTTCAAAGTGCATCCTGCCACTAGAGCCGACTGCACCCAAAGGTGGGTGGCGCTAGCGCAATTGTCTGTGGTGACAACAGTGCCATCATGCTGTCAGCTTAAGACATGGGTGCTGCAATAAAAACTCTATTGCTTCCATGCTGATGTAGCAGCTGGCTCCGGAGTTTTCAGCTGTCCCAAGGACTGAGCACAGGCTGGCATGCTGGATCAGTTACCCATGCTGAGCACCTTACTGAACTGCCTGGCCAAGCACAAGGAGCGGATGCTCTCTGGACACTTGGAGATGGGATGCTGGATGATTGAAGCAGATGCTTTTGATGAATCCCAGCTGTTTTATCTCTTGGACTGGTTACTGAGGTTTCCTCAGGCACTGTCGTCCTTCATGTGGAGTGTGGATACTGCAAGACAGAGCACTTCTACAAAAGGCTGGAAGAGTCAGCAAACATATGCAACTCCATGCAGATCCAAGCTCCCTACTCCAACTACCCAGACTTGAGAAAGGCTCATGGTCACTGAACTGCAGCTGTGAGTCAGAGCGAATCTGCTCATGGTGGCTCACCACCATTCCCCAGCTCCCACCAGAGGCAGACCCAGAGCTGAAATACTGCTTGGCTTCTTCTCTCTGTGGTGCTGCACCTTCAGATGTTGACCACACGTCCTCCCTCAGCTCCTGCACCAAGGGGTTCTTCAGCAAAGGGTGGTGATGAGAGACGCTGGTTGTGCTCTCCACGGCAGGTGAAAGCTTTAGGAGGACTCTCCTTCCTTCACCATCTGACAGGCAGGCAGATCTCTTGCTTTGTGGAAGAGACCACTGCCTTCAGAAGTCTGCTCTACCAGAGGTCATCTCGGGGGCCTCCTCCTGTCCTGTTGCTCTAGCCTTTCAACATTTGCTCATTTCCACAAGAGAGGGCAATCTCTAAGCCAGCCTAAAAAAATTCAAACACACCCAGACAAGCCATTAATGCTGCCCAAGGTTTCACAGCCACACCCAACTTCAAATCGGTGTGGTTGCTTTTCCCCAAGGCTGAAATTTTTAGCTCTATGTAGCCTAAGGAATCACACCATGCTGTTGTTTTAATTTGTGCTATCAGTCCTCAGTGGTGGTTTTGAATAGCTCCATAGCTCCAGAGCCCGTGCTACACTAGGACACCCACAGCAGATACCAAGCGGGGACTGTACCCGGGGCTGCAGGCTGAGCTGCTTCTCTGAGTGAGCTGGAAAATTGATGCAAGGCACTTTTGCAGTCTACTGTGCCCATCCAAGACTCAACTGTTTGGACTGTGGTCATCCTCCATGTGGAGAAAAAGTGTCCAAAAAAGGGGAGTGAACCATAAGGAGGCAGGCTTGACACAAACAAACCAGTTGCTCATACTCAAAAGCCTACAAATTATAGAGAAATATGCTTCTTGAACAGAAATGTATGCAAAGGTACAGACACAGCAGATGCACAAGAGCCCCAGTCTGGGATTTTGTTGCCAATAATTGATTTCTGTTTTTCCTTACCGCCATATTCCTGCAGTGCACAGCCCTAAGCTCCCCGACCCCAAAGACATGTCAAATGCCACCACTCTGAACTTTTTAACTATAAACCACATTGGAAGAAATGTAGGCGTGAGCTGCTCATTCGGTGCCAGCTACAGCGGATGCTAATAGCCAGGCTGCATCAAGGAGGATGGGCACGGGGAGTCTGAACCATTTCTTCCTTAATCCCACTGACACTAAAAGGGGGGGTGGGGTGGGGCAGAGGGGGAGAGGGAAGGCAGAAAAGCTAAAGTCTCTGCCTCTGTAGGAAAATACCCTGGCCTCCCCAGAAACCAAAAACTAGACTTCCTTGGTGCACTTCTCTGCCTTGCTCTTATCTTGCAATCAAACACCCTCGCCTTTCTAGCCAACTTCTGTGTCACAGCAATTTGCAGAAGGTAGAAAATATACAACCAAAACCAAATGTCAAGCAAGCTGCTCAATGCAGCAGGTACAGGCGGCAGCACTAGAGAGGGGATCTGCAAAGAGAAGGGGAGGCTTGGTCAACAACTTCAGGTAGAAATTAAACTAACTGGTTGTTTCTCAAAGACCACAAAGCAAACTATCTGGATAAAGAATAAACCCAAATTCAATTCTTAGCTATTTCAACCCTTATAATATGGATTGCCAAACACAGATAGTTTTTAAACAAATAAAGCATGCAGTCTTTAAATCAACATGTGTCAAAAGGACCCAAAGCAATGACAATGACTGTTTTGGAGGATGAGAAGCCCAAATTCATCCCCAGGACAGGACAACTCCACAAGACGAGGGGGTGGAGGTCGCAATCCCTGGTTTTGCCTGTCTCTGTACCTCATTTCCCAGCAGAGCAGAAACACACGCTTCCGAGGCATCACAAATGGCGGTCAGGTCGTGGCCTCCTTCAAGGGCCAGGACGACGCGGCCCCCGGCCAGGCCCATCAGCTGCTTCGTCAGGTACCCGAAGCCTGTAACGAAGGAAAAGAGGAAATGCAGGATAAGGGCAAAGGTTGCGGCTGGAATCAGGCTCCTGGCAAAGGATCAAAGAATTATAGAAAGGAATTACATCATATTAAAAAACCACAAGGGATCTGAAAGGACTCAACGCATAATATAAGCCAGGTTGGATTTTAATACGCTCGCTGCAGAATCCCAGCCACGGTTCCCTGCTAGACTGGCTCAGCCGTGTGCACTGCGGGACGGATCCGTACCTCCCCCACCAGCACTTTGCTTGAGTTTATCCCAGGTGAGAGGCACTGCCATCTTCCCTGCCACCCCTCAGCGCCCCGAATTGTATATAGCAGCGTGTATCTCCTTTGGAATGAAGGAAAAAAGGTGGAAGGAGGTGGCTTTTTGCCCTGCTTTGGGAGATTCAAAGTCAGAGCAGTCATGGGGAGGCATGGGGGGAGGGAGGCGAGGAAAGGGAAATCAGTAAAATTGCTGCCACAGTGCTTTCAGTTGCGATAGCAGCATCACAGTGCCCCAGAGATATTTGACATCTAGTTCTTAACAGACGTTTCTTCCCGTATATAATATGCTATAAAAATTCCTGGGGCACCCGGGACTTTGATCATATGACACACAATATATTTCTACCCTTTAAACAAAACAGAACCAAGCTGCGAGGATTTAAAAAGCGTGTCCTCAAAGCAACCTTCCCCCTCCAAAAAAAAAAAAAATTCCAAACAAATGAAAATCCAGGGCATTTCAACCCTCCATCCACGCTCCCTGCTTTTTGTTTTGCAGTGACCCCTGCGAGCGCCTTTGCAAATTGGCAAATTAACAGCCAGATAAAAAGATTCAGGGCTGAGCCCATAACTGTTTTGTGAAAGTAGCAGAGCATGGGAAATTCAACAAGAAGGTAAACAAGACCTTCTCATTACAAAGTGTTTCTGGATATCTTAAATAACTTGTCTGTTGTAAATCTATTTCACTTTATTCTTATATAAAGTTTATAGGTTCAGCTACCTTAAAAGGTTCTGAAGTTCACTGTAGAGAATAAGTTTTCTGGCTGAAGCAAACTCTTAAAAAATAATAATAAAATCCTTTTGCAAGAAAAACTGTCTTCTTGATTGACTTGAATAAAACAGTGCCACATAAAACCAGCATAACCAAGGAGGGAGCGGGGGGAAAACATCAGCACATCTCCTGTGCAATGCAAAATATCACAGATCCAAAGCAAAAGGGATGTTCTTGTGGGCCTGTATAATTGCTTCAAAGGTGGAGAACAAAAATATTCAGCTTGAATTTTTACTTAGATATGCTAGAAGAAGAAATGAACTTCTACTAGCATTCAGAGGAGGGTATGCTGTTTATATCTGGCATTACCTCTTTCTAAAATTTTGCATTAAAACAGGCATAATTCTCGAATTCAGCAGCTGTCTTCCACAGAGGTATCAAAGAATGATACCAAATGAATTGGTAACTTCCTTACATAATTTATTTACACTTGAAATCGAAATATGCAATGCTTCAAGAAAACAAAGGCTTCAGCCAGACCAAAATACATGCGGTGCAATGACAAAACACATAAAAGTGCAAAGAAAAAGGCTGAAAAGTTTGCCATTGAAATGAAAGAGCTGAAGATAGACCCCAAATGGTAAAACCTGTACTTTAGTCCCTAGGACAGCAGAAATTTACACAGTTTTGGGTCTTTGCTCTTGTAAATCCACAACTTACATTTTGCTGATAGGTTATATCCTCCAAGAGGTGTGGGATGGCCTTCCACTGCATCGAAACCAGATGACACCAGCACAACATCTGGGGCAAATTCATTGGCAATGGGCATTACTACCGTTCTGCAACAAAAATTTAACAATGGCAGACACATCATTTCGGCTCTTGAACAAACGCAGGAACACTTAAACCATCTTGAACAAACCCATTATAAAACCTCGTACTATTATTCCACGGTAGCAAAGCCCATCTCCTATTTTCTTACAAGGTGTGAGCCTGGATGGCAGATTACCTTGCCCTACCACACAGTACAGTTTTAAAGTCAATCTCTTGTGAGGTCTATTAATTCCTTCATCAACAGGCTCAAGCTTTGCCCAGGGAAATAAGCTGCCATACATTGTGTTTCCCATTTGTGATCATATCTTGCTTTACATACAGAGGACTGAGGGGATAAGGAGAAAATAACGGGCATCTGGCACAGGCTGCAAATCCACCTGGAAAACCTGTCCGCCAGCAACCTCTGTTTGTGGCACTTGTCTCCCTGTTCTTCTTCTAAATATCTTCTTTAGCCTTTGCAGAACCTGCGAAGTTATTTATTTTTCCTTGCTGCACTTCTCATTTGCCATAATGACAGGCTGGGGATGTCACATGGGGCAAAAAGCTTTAATATGCAAATATCCCACCCAAATACACCTCTCCGAACTCTGGTTCCTTGTCCTCTGACATTTTGTTCACTAAAACCAAGATGCTAACTAAGCAAAACTAGAAAGTTAAGCAGAGAGCAAGTAAGGTGATTCTTTGTGTAACAGGTCCAGCACGAACATGGCAAAACTGAAATTACTGTAAAAGTCAACGCAATGGAGCCTCTTAATAAACACAATGCAGACACCCACAATCTTTTCTGATTGAGAAAGCACGTTGCAAGTGCTCTTACATGAACACCTTCTCACGCCTTCTGTTCACGCCAGCGTACCTACGTGCAAGGTCTTGAAAGTTGTTTTGAATTTCTTGATTGGGCACTGAAAACTGCAGGGAATGGTGGAAAAGCAAGGATGTGCACAGAGGGTTGCCCTTTGTATAGAGTAATATTTTCCAAATTGTGTTCTTTTTCCATTACAAATGTGCCCACTGAATCTTGGATGTATCCCTATGGCAACCTGACTGATGCCATCCCTTGCTGGTACTGAAGACGACAGTATTTCCCTGTTTCCCCATCCTAGGAACAGCTACTGGCAAGGTTAACTTTCTAAAGCATGAACTGAAGTTATTCATATGCCAAAGCACAAACCTGTAAATATGTTTGCATACACGAGAACTTCACTTCTATTGAGTACAGTTGTTATGTGATGCTCCAAAAACCAGTAAGAGCCCAGAAAGGGCTGTTTAGTGCTGAGATTGCTCAAGTGCTATCAAGACACCCAAAAAATTCAAGTCGCTTGCTACAATGATGTTAAACAGCCACAAGACACCTTCTAGTGTCGGCAACTTGTGTTAGCTCCAACACCGATCTGAGCTCATGCCATTTTGCTGTTTTAATGGAGTATTAACATCTACCATACAATGAGAGACTTCCAGTGTTGGTCAAAGCCATCAAGCAGTTTCCATCGCCATCACTGAGCAGAGCCCCTACAGGCAGGGACACTGGGCACATCGCAGGTCTGGTCAAGGCACTCAGATATGATGCAGTCCCCATGAAAGCCTTCTAGCTTTTATTTTTTGCCAACTAATGGCTGCAGTAACCTAACAGCCTCCTGCAATCTTCCTGCCTGCCAGTCTCTGAACACAGACATGAAAACCTATGCAAAAAAAGATCTTATTTTCTTTTAATTCTTACAAAATCTGAAAGAGGAATTTTATTTTTTTCGTCAAATGACATGATTGCCATATACATTTTGTCCTTGGGGAGATTATTACATAAGGAAGACAAAATAGCACAGTTTTTGCTGATGACTTTACAGTCGACAAAAATCTGTTTAGTGAAAAACCCACAGACGTTTTAAGTAGAAACCACCTCCTTCACAAAGGACTAAAGCAGCAGTTTTGAAGCAAGTGCATGTGGCAGAGGTTTTTCTTTTTTTTCCTGAGCTTTGAAGTACTGCTGAGCTCTTTCATTTCTAACCAAAGGAAAAAAAAAACCAACTCCCCCCCCCCCCCCCCGCCAAATTATGATACCATGGGACCTGCTAGTACCTCAACTGATGTGCGGGATCACTCCATGCTGGTTGCAGAGCAAGCCCAAACCTGCACCCCCAAGCTGTGTGCACAGTTTGTCAGCACTAAGCAACCCACACAACCCTGAACTGGTAATGTTTTGTTGGCCATGGGACAGCTCATCTGGCTCATGCCCAAGCAGGAACGCACCCGAGGAAGAGGGACAGCGGTGAGCAGCGCATGATGGTGCTGGTGATGCTCGGCTGAAGGTCCCCACGCGGTGACAGCGGTTCAAAGATACCCTCTAGTGGCACAGCCAGCACACAGGCAGCACCAAGAATTAACTGTGAACCCTGTCTATCTAAATTTTAGGAGAGAAGAAGCAGCAGTTGCTGTTTAAAAGTAAATTAATCAGTATTTGACAATAGTTAGAAGAAGCTGTTTTGAGGATGTCCAGAGTTTTCTCCGGTGCAGGACGGGGTGACCTTACAGCTGCAACTGGTCACCCCAGCAAGTATCTTCATTTCTGAGCAATTATTAGCGGTGCTTTGTATGCACAGTAAATTTTTATCAGGTCCCTCATGGTTTTAAGAAACCTGTGTTGCAGGACCCCTGTCTCCTTTGTCCAAGGGGAGCCAGGAGGACAGCCTGCGCTCATGGGATGGATGCTGCATGCCTGTCCTGGACAGAGGCTGCCCAGGAGCTGTGAGTGTTCAGGGAGAACCAGAGGAGAAGTGCAAAACGCCAGGGTGTCAGAATAAATAAGCTAATGATGCTTTCGGTACCTTGGCCATCACAAGCCCATCCAAACTCAAAAGCGTTCTCAAATCCAGGCTTGAACCCTTTCCTTTGCCCACGACTCCTACCCAAACTCTCTCGGGCTGCTTTTTCTTCTTTCTCCTAATTCCAGTATTACACCAGTACTCCAAAGCTGCAGTCCCAACTCTATTTGATGCTCGCCCTGTACAGAAGCAGCTAGATCTTTGGCTATAAACCTTGACCTAGGAGGGACAAAGCCCTCCTGCCTCTCAGCACTCCCTCCCTCATTTTTCCCTTTTTAATTGTTAAAAAAAAAAAAAAAAAAAAAAAAAAAAAAGAGGCTTACATGAAAATTTAAGACACAAGCAAACAAACCACTTTCAAACAATGTGTTTCTCAGATTTCATCTGTGGACAGCATTTCAGGCACATCTAAGCCAGTCTTTTGGGTTTTAATTTTTCTTCTGCATGGATGAAAACAGCCTCTTCGCTCAGATCCACCACAGTCCCCAAGAGAAAGCAACAATTAAACTGCAAACAAACCTATGGCTTTGCCCTGGTGATGATTCTCCAAAAAAGCCAGAAATTTAAATTACTACCAAGAAGGTGAGTAGTTTTGTCTGGAACTGGGTCTTTTAACTAATGTCTAATGTGGCTGTAGCATTAGTCACCAAGGAATGAAAAGGTCTGTAACACTGAATATTCATTCAAGCCATGTAGAATTTTTTAAAATACAAGGGTTAAGTTTAAATTTCCTAAATTTTAGAGGGTTGTTTTGCTTGCTTAAAATAAAGTAAATCCCTTCATATGACTCTGATTACAGCTAAGCTGAATAGCTATGCATTAGTCAATACTGATGGCTGCAAACAGTAAAAACTACTGATCATGTTCTGCAGGCATTTGGGGGAGAAAAAGAATTACAATTTTATCTATTTTCCAGAAGACTAAATAATTTTAGTCTGTTACTAGCCAATTCACCAATTAAATGCCTAATAAATGACAGGCAGATTAAATAATCCGGCAGAGGATTTTTTTTAAATGCTCAATTGCAGCAAGCAAATCGGTGAAACTTAGAAGGCTGAGCACTTTTTTCAGAGACTCTTTTTCCCACTGTTGGCCATATATATATATATATATAGCAAAACGTTATCCGCTGGCTCTTAAGGCTAATCAGCCTCCTGAAGACTCCAGTCTTTGTTTCTCCGAGCAGCCATCTCCACGGTCATTTACTATGTCAAAAGGGATTAGGAGTTTGGGGACGAAATCAGCATCAGGAGAGCATGAAATCTAAAATACAGAAACAACCGTTCCAGGCAAAACATCATCAACTTCCCCCCTCCCTATTACTCGCTCCTGAAATGGTTTATGGATGGAAGGAAAAAACAAAATCCCCCCCAGTTGGCTCCTGAACTCTTTTAACGCTTTCCAAGAAAGGTAGGAGGAGGAACCTTTCAAATACAGTCCTGGCTTTTGCTTCTGGTTTAGGTGTTTTAAATAAAAATAAAACTAACACGGAATCAAGCTGTATATGGAATTATAATTGTGGAGGAGACCTCAGGGTAGGGAAAAAAATTTGTATGAGACAACACAACTGCTAGAATCATCAGGAAAACTTTCTTGCAGTAAATTCAGAGGAAAACTCCTGTGGATAATACACTTTAATTTCACTAAGTAATTGCTGTTCTTGTGTAATAAGGAACTAGCTGCAGTCTTCACATTTTTTTCTGCAGGTCGCTTAGCTGGGTTTGCACACTCTGCTTCTGAAAACCTCGTAAGGATTTATAGAAGGAAACATGATTTCTGCTTGTATAACAAGTTATGGAACAACAGACTCCGATAAAAAAACCAACCCCGAATTTTACAACCATTTGTTTCTATAACTACGGAATAACAGCGATGAATACCAATAACATTTTGATGAGTTAAGGACTTTTAAAATTATATGCCCTGCATTTTTCGCATTAGAGTTTAATACATTTCTGCCTAATCTGTGAAATCTGTATTGCCCACATACTTCAGCAGTGAGTTCAGCCGTGGGACCTTTGCCCGGCGAATGGTCAGCTAAATTATAATGTCATGCTGTCTCGGGCAGGCAGAGCCGCTGCTACGATGGGGTGGAGGAGCACCAAGCTCGCAGCAAACTCCCCAAATCCTTTCTGCACATCTTATTAGTGACTGGAGTGACTCCACCCTGCTTCCCCCTGCCCCAGAGAAAAAAAAAAAAAAAAAAAAAATTTACAGCAATCATGATATCACCCCAACCTCGAGACGGGGCAGCTGGTGATTTCAGCCCTCGGTTATGAAGACAATAAGCGACAAAGTGCATGGCAAGGCTGCTCTCCGCTTCGCATTTTTAACTCTTGTTCTCACTTTTGAAACGGCTTGGTGGTATTAATAAACATTAAGAGGTCAGGCTATCCTGTCCAACCTAATGTGGCAGTGCAAGCAGAGGGAAGCCAATATTTGTAGAAGAAATGTTCAGTAGAAAAATCATTGATGCAAGTTACCGTCCTTTCTTCAGAAAGAGTAAAGCAACACTGAAACAGGTTTTCAGTGTGAGGATGATAGGTTTCACTGGGATTTATTTATTCACTCAGCAGAAGACTAATTTATGGGGACAATTATCTCAGTTATTATTTCATTAGAGTACATGCTTTTATCAAATCTATATACCAGCTCATCCTGAAATAGAACAAAAAAAAAAAAAAAAAAAAAAGAAAAGCAAGTTGCTTATTTTTCTTCTCCTTGTTTCACGTAGAAAGAGGGCTTTCTTCCCTGAAAGCAGACAAGCATGAGAAGAGTTAAGGCTTAAAAAAAAAAAAAAAAAAGAAGAAAAAGTATATCAGTATCTTCGCCTAGCTCAAAGGATTTCCACTGATTCCTCTACAGACTTCAAAGCCTCACAGTTTGGCATTTGGACTGGTTTGAATTAAAGCTCAGTTCTCCACTGTGAGTTTCCAAGTTCATGGTGAAAATGCCTGCAGCTTCTGGAGTTCATTATGGCCAATTTTCTTATCTTTTCTTCATCTTAGGTTTGATCCCCGGCAAATGCAACGTGGCATTCAATGGGGTGGAATAACAAGGTGCTGCCTTGAAGGCATGCATTGTCTCAAGGGGCTAACGAAAGAAAAGAAGAAAAAAAAAAAAAAAAAAAAAGGATATATGACCCATTCCCTTCACTTTCTAACTCTCGGGGGACTATAAATTGCAAACTTCAAAGCGTTATTTTACATTAAAATCAATAGAAAGATTCAGGGGAGGAAAAAAATGTTTTTCAAAGAAGCTGGTTAAGATTTAAAAAGGTCACTTGATAATGTATTATCATGACCAAACTTGGCATAAGATTAAAAAAAAGCTTCCAATTTAACTTATTGACTGAAGGTGTGCACATGGGGCAGACTATGGGAGTTGCTACCTAGGAGGATGAGTCACAACGTCCCAAAACCCCAGCAAAATAAGGGCTGTGACTAGTTCCAAAATATCTTCCCCAAATAGCTGCAGCCTGAGCAAAAAGACACCAGTGCCTATTAAGGAATGGCTGGCAAAGGTCTTACTGTGCAGCCTGAGCAATTTTCCAGAAGCCTTGAAACTCAATTAATATTTAATAGCAAATATGTCACTGCGTCGCGAGCTACAGGTTCTCTTTATAATGAAGAGCTCAGTCTTGTGGACTGCTGGGATAAACAGACTTCCACTTTGGAGGAAAGTGCTGCTTTCCTGTAACAGGAATAATACATTGAGACAAATGACAGTTATTTGACTAGATGTTATTTTAAATTGTATACATTCTTTGAAGGCTTTTTAATGGCAGGCTGAAGAGTAAAAGCTCTTTTTGCCCAGTATAACGGAATTCAAATATGTGCACAGGGAAGAACAGAAAATAATGCTCCCAGATTTAATGCTATTCCATGGAGGCGATATTCCATCTGCCTCTTGCCAGAAATTCACATCCCATGTTTTGGCAAGTGTGTGTCTCCCTGAATTTATGTGGGGTGGTCGCCAGAAGTGCGCTAAACCTCGTTTAAGGACAGAAAACCACTTCAACCCCTAATTGTTAAAAAAGATGCCAGTTGGAGAGGATGGACCCACAGCGCAGGAGAGGCAGGGTGTGGAACAGGACAGTCTCTAAGAAAAATAAAGCTTATATATCCAGCAGGTAACAGAATCATATTTGTTCTCCTGGAAAGAGTATTAGAAAGGAAAGTGTGGTCTCACACTGGCCTCTTCACTAGTGCATTACTTCTAAGTTCTCCTCTACTCAGAGATCTGCCTTCATTTCATCTTGTTATACTGTTGCTTCCATGGTTAATTTTAATACCTTCCTTTTCCCATTCTCTGCAGCTCTGGGAGGCAAATCCATCACTTGCAGCAAGTCCCCAAAACACCAGTGATGTACAATTGCCCTGTTGGGCTATTTTGCCCATTAGCTGCTCAGAGCAGCAAGGTGATGTTCAGCCCATACTCTCGCAGTGCTCCCATAGTGATGCTGCTCAGAGAGACAACCTGGGTGTGCATGACTGTAGATCAGCCAACGTGTTTTGCTTCACGCATCGCTTCTGATGCTGCTGATATGAAGAGGAAAGTAAGGATCAGATCAAATGACTCTTTGCAGATACCTCCCTGTGATCCTTAGGTATCGTATGCTTCTGTGAGCAGGACAATAAGACCAGCAGGACATCAACAAGTGAATCTACCAGTGGCTTCATCCCCTGCTCTATTTGGAGACTCAAATTATACCAGTTTTTTGGAGCATGCTTGAATATGCTTGTACAGCCCAGCACAGTCATTTATATCTGGCTTTACTATTCCTGCTAATCAAAGAGCATATCCCAGCAACACATCAATTCAACTCCACAGCTTTGCTTACCTTCATTCACACTCTGACAGTGAGTGATGAGTAACTTATTTAAGAGATGGTTGTATTTTTATTCATAACACACAACATGCGGCTTCTGAGGAGAAACCAGAACCCAGTAAGATAAACACAAACCCAACAGTTCAGTTGTTTCAATTTCCAGTTGGTTGGAACAGACATATTTGAGATCTTGGGTGAATAATAATAAAATCTAAAGCTTATCAAAACAAGCCCACGTCCGCTTGCTAGGTATACTTGGGAGTGAGCTGTGGTGCGACCCATGAGCACAGCTTTTGCAGGGGAGGGACTGCATGGCCAACTTGCCCAGCAGTTGGGTACCATCGTCTGCAGCGCAGCAATGATGTCTCAAGTCTTGGGGCAGCTGCACTCCCATGTTTCAACTCATGATGACTTATTATCAGGTTTTTCTGTGTTCACCTCCCCATCCAGGTGGGTTTACCCACAGAAATACTCACCCCAAAGTGGTAAAAAGATTTTTAAGCTAAAACCAGAAGAGCTTGTTCACATCAGTTGGCATTTTACATTCATGCATCAATCAGTGCTGAGCAGTGAGTATGTCAATTCCCTAACATCACAAGCACACTTCTTATGGCCAGAAATACTGTATTTACTTAATTCAGCTTCATTTTTATTATGGTACTCAAAAAGTAACTGCAACTAGATGTTTCTAAACTTAGCAAGAGAAAACTCAAGATTAAGGAGGACTGCATGAGGAAAAAGAAACCCAGTTTAGGTGAAAAATATGTTTACAAGAGGAAAACTTCAATATTACCTGAAAGCAGTTAAGTATTCTGTGTCTCCCATTGGTGGATCAAGGCCACCAGTAAAGGCCATGTTAACATTGAAACCAACTCCTGCTCCTGTGCCAACCTGAAAAAGGGAGATGGTACTCTTAATTAGATGTACAGAGACAGCAAACTCTGGCAACACATCTCTGCTGTCTTAATATTCTTCCAGTTGAATATGGATTTTGATTAAATAGCTTGGTGGTAGTAGATCTATTTTTCCCTCTAAAGCAACCTGGTCCCCAAAACAAGAGTGAAAGTAAAGCTCCTCCATGCTCTGATCTTTACGGGAGCTGTGGACCAGTGGTATTTGACTGCTGCTCACCCAAAAAACACCCCATCATCAACTGGATCCTCTTCCTCTTTTGCAGGAGAGTGTTACATGCAATACCTTTCCTTAGTTTGTTTTCAGCTTTATTCAGAAGCATATTTTATATTTCATTATAGTTGCAACTGGGGGAAAAAAATCCACAGTTTTAATCAGAGCGAGCTCCCCCTCTGCTGGGGAAAAATATGATTCACAGAGAAGAGATTTTCGCTGCTTGAGGGACATATGGGTGGTAAATGTAAGCACATCCCCATCCTTGCATGTACTGCGAATGTCCCCATCTGCACTAACTGCAAATACCTGAGAAAGGGGAAACCGGAATAATAAAACAGGGGTTTCTAGTAATTTGTTTGCCAAGAAGCAGGGCCATGTTTTCCCCATCCATACTGAAACCCAAAAGCCTGTGTTCAGTCCCTTCATCAAGCAGGGACCTTGTAGCTGCCTGAGCACGGTGGCCATGAGTGTGGGCTGTAGGTCCCTGGGGAAAGCCAGGGAGCCGGGCAGTATCTGCTGCCACCAGCCATCAGCAGCTCTGCAGAGGGCTCTGAGCTCCTACACACACAGTTTGGGTTTTCTGAGTTTTTTTTGGTCTCTGCATATGAAAAAAAAAAAAAAAAAAAGAAAATTAATGTGCTATACAATACACAGCCAGATAATTCAGGCTAGATAAAGCTGCAGGGCTTTCATTGCACGTTCTTCCTTGTATTGGTGCAAATACTGCTGGTAGAAAACCACAGTGGGTTCATCCACCCATGGTGGCTTTAACTGAATTGTTTCATTTGGTCTGGAATGACACATCCAAAAATTAACATAAATGGTAAATAGGGAGTGGATAGTATAGCCTAGTATTTACTTACAATACTAGATATTTTGTAAGACAGATTCCTAGATTATTAAAAGGTCAGCAGAAAAGTAGGTCTGCGAGCTTTGCATATCCTGAAGGAAAAATTCAGAAATTAAGCCTGATGCAAAGGGCTGCTGATATTCACTACAACAGTAGCAAGGCAATGAAGCAGTATCACATTATATTTAAGTTTGTTTAGAAACTGAAATAGCAACATCGATGTTTAATAAACAGGAAAATGTAAAATTGACAGGGTAAGAACTCTAAGCGTTTTCAAAGGCAATCTGAAGTGCCTCAGAGTACACAAAACTAAGTATTTAATACAATTTCCCTTTGATAAATCATTCTGGAAAGACAGTATTTCCTGCCAACCTAGAGGGAAAGGAAGGATGCAATGGATGTAGTAGTATCCATCTGGAGTTTAGGGAGAAAGGGCTCCCACCTCTGTTGACCTGCCCCTTCTGCAGAAGGCTCTGAGGCCACCACCAGGAACCAGTGGATTTGGACCAGCAGCATCAGTGACTGATGCTTAAATCCCACTGTTGGGGCTGTGCAATGGGCTGCAAGGCTCTGCCAGGAAACCCAAGTGCCGGTGGCACAGCCATGGACAACTTGTTCCTCTTGCATCTAAGAAACAACTTATTCCTGTAAGGGGAAAATCTTGAAAAGTACGCAGAGTGCAGGGACAGCTGGCAAAGGGCTCCTCTGGAACAGGTTCTTCCATAAGGGCTGGATTCATTTTCTGCTCATTAGCCAAGGCGCACGCTTTCCTGCCACCTCACAGGGCAGGACACAATGTCCATGCCTGTTAGGACTTAGAAAAGAAGGCATCAAACACATGAACCTGGGCAGTGCATTCTCAAAGGGGTACCATCAAGCACGAGCATGGGAGTGGTGGCAGGAGCTTCTCTCCAAGTCTTGCCTGGCAGAGGCTCTCCAAGACTTTGGGGGGGCACCTGAATCACAGCCCTGAGCAAGTCCTATCAAGACACAGATGGATGCTACGCCAATCCATGCTCTTACCTCGTCCGGAGCACCACTGCCTGGAAAGAAGTTCCCATCATCATAGCGGTGTAGTGAAATATAAAGAACATTAGGATCATTGTAGAAAGCTTGCTGAGTACCGTTCCCATGGTGAACATCCTTTGGGGACAGAGATTGCATTACATGAGCGAGGTTAGTATCTTAGTAAAAACACAGATTAAAGCCATCAACTTGGGATTCAGAGGGGTTTTCTTTGCTGCTGGGCTTCATTTTCTGCAATTCTCTGATCTAGCTAAAGCAGTTTATCACAGACGAGAGCAACGTGCTTTGCACAGCTGGCTTCAGGTTGCACTCCTTGTTTTAATACAGGGGATAAATGGGCATAAACACAATCTCAAGCGTATATAAAAACTGAGGACAGGATCAATTTACTCGGATGGAGAGAACTGGATTCATACCCAATCTTGGGGGGCAGAGAGACTATATTAGTTACCCCAAATTTGCGTCTTTAATCGGTCTGCAGGGTGACCACTGATACAAGTGCCCAGCAAAGTTGTCTTGGACCCAACAAGGTTAAACAACACAAACCCATTACCTGGATCCCCTACTGAATTGCTACTTGGTGCAGAAATGCAGGATGGGTATTCAAAATGCCCCTTTCTGACACAAAAAATGGTTGGTGAAGTCAGGAAAAGGATTTCCATCCAGTAGGTCAAAAAGATAAATAAATCCATTTAAACTTGTGGGTCTAACCCATGGGAGACTTGTGGCAATCTAATCAAAACTCTTGGCCAACACCCAGCAACTCAAATGCCGTCACAGCCAAATAAATACATTTTTAAATCTATAAAAATCAATCAGGCACATTTTTAAATCTATACATTGCCATAGCAAAATCCTGAACAAGCTCCTTCTCAAATCTGCTGCACTGTCTGCAGAGTATTTCACTGTCTTGTTCCAACTTAGAAATCACTTTTGACTACTTGCTCACTCACACAGAGGCTGCACTGGCCCAGAGGCAGGATGCTGAGACCATCCAGATTGATGGTCAAGCCATGCCAAACAGCCCAGTCCTTGCATCTTGAAAAGAAAACTGGGATGGATCCTAACACTTAAGGTAAAAAACCTTCAGAAAAAAATAACCAAAACTTAGCATGGTTTGCAGTTACCCATCCTTCAGATTGTGTTATGGGCTTGTTTTAGGAAGCAACTACTTCTTAATTAAAATTTTGTTCTATGGACACTTTAAGAAATGTTTCTGTTATTAAAAACACTTTAATATAAAAACCCCAACAACTTTAAAAAACAAATTTTGGCTTGCAGATCACAGGCAACATTTTTTACACCAACTTAAAAAGCCAGGGTTGCCCCTGCAAGAAAAAAAAACCAAAACAAAACATGAAAATTTCCAACTGTTTTCCTGAAGGGTACGAACCAGCATTTTACTCACCCAGTCCACTATAAGGATTTTGCTAACGTTCAGTCTTTGCTGGAGCAGCTTGGCTGCGATTGCCACTGAGTTAAAATAGCAGAAACCCCTGGAGATGATGAGAGGGGGGAGAAAAGAAGAAAAGGGGAGGTGTTAATTATAGGTTTCCTTGGTCCCCATGCATCTATCATCTAGATGAAACACAGTAGGAAGAAATTTCTTCTGTTTTCACTCCTTTCCTCCCTGGAAGATGCACATGTGCTCAACTGGAAACACAAAATAGCCATGCAGCAGCAGGTGTCTCATGATCTCTCTGGTAATGGGGAACATTTCACACTTGCCCATACCCGCTGTAATGAGATGCTGCTTGGTGCCAACTGCCCATGAGACCTCCAGTGCTATGTGCGATGGAAGGGAACAGGAGCCGATGAGGAGGGGACATGGTGAGGGGGAAAGGAAGGAAAAGAACCCAGGGCCAGAGCACTAGAATGCATCGGCTGGGAGGGAGTGGACATGCTCGGAGAGGCCTCAAAATGCTGGGTTGAAGGGAACTCAACAGCAAGCACTCATCTGCTCTTGACCAACCTCATTGACTAGCCTGATCTTCTATGACATGGTGACCTGCTTAGTGGGCAAGGGAAAGGCTGTGGATTTTTGTTTACCTGGACTTTAGTAAAGCCTTTGACACGGTTTCCTACAGCTTTCTCCTGGAGAAAGAGGCTGCCCATGGCCTGGACAGGCATATTCTTTGCTGGCTTAAAAACTGGCTGGATGGCCAGGCCCAAAGAGTTGTGATCAGTGGAGTTAAAGCCAGTTGGAGGCCGGTCACAAATGGTGTTCCCCAGGGCTCAGTGTTGGGGCCAGTTCTGTTTAATTGCTTTATCAATGATCTGGATGAGCGGATTGAGTGGCACCCTCAGCTAGTTTGTAGATGACACCAAGTTGGGCGGGAGCGTTGATCTATGTGAGGGTGGGAAGGCTCTACAGAGGGACCTGAACAGCCTGGATTGATGGGCTGAGGTCATTTGTATGAGGTTCAACAAGGCCAAGTGCCGGGTCCTGCACCTGGGTCACAACAACCCCATGCAGCGCTACAGGCTTGGGGATGAGTGGCTGGAAAGCTGCCTGGTGGAAGAGGACCTTTGGGGGGGTTGGTCGACAGCTGACTGAATATGAGCCAGCAGTGTGCCCAGGTGGCCAAGAGGGCCAAGGGCATCCTGGTTTGTATCAGGAATAGTGTGACTAGCAGAACCAGGGAAGTCATCCTTCCCCTGTACTCGGCACTGGTGAGGCCACACCTCGAATACTGTGTTCAGTTTTGGGCCGTCACTACAACAAGGACATTGAGGCACTGGAACGTGTCCAGAGAAGGGCAACGAAGCTGTTGAAGGGTCTGGAGCACAAGTCTGATGAGGAGTGGCTAAGGGAACTGGGGTTGTTTAGCCTGGAGAAGAGGAGGCTGAGGGGAGACCTCATCGCCTTCTACAACTGCCTGAAAGGAGGCTGCAGGGAGGTGGGTGTTGGTCTCTTCTCCCAAGTAACAAGCTATAGGACAAGAGGAAATGGCCTCAAGCTGCACCAGGGAGGATTAGATTGGGTATAAGGAAAAATTTCTTCACCAAAAGTGTTGTCAAGCATTGGAACGGGCTGCCCAGGGAAGTGGTTGAGTCCCCATCCCTGGAAGTATTTAAAAGATGTGTAGATGTGGTGCTTAGGGACATGGCTTAGTGGTGGACTTGGCAATATTAGGTTAATGGTTGATGACCTTAAAGGTCTTTCACAACCTAAACAATTCTATGATTCTATCTCCCACCAAAGAGTGCTGAAGCACCCAAGACACAAAACTTCAGCACATGTTAAGCCAAATACACAAAGCCAACATGCTTTATGTACAGGACCCTGATTTGAAAACAGTCTGATGGCAAACCCTCTGCTATACTAAACACACACAAGATGCCCGACTTCAGCTTTTGCTTTGCGAAGCCTTCCCACTCTGACACTCTCCTAACAAAGTGTTGTGACTCCAGGACACAGTTACGTTTGCTATTACTACTATCTGTTGCATACCCTCACTTTCCTCACACTGGACAAGCCATCAACATCTCATTTAAAACAATTCACAAGAGTAAAGTAAAGAAAAGCATCAGTGCTTTTTCAAAGCATGACTGTAATGCTGATTCTTGCTAAAAAATACCCACCCAAAACCACTAAGCAGGATCTTGCCCTCTTCCAGAGAATTACTGGGACCTTTGAATATAATACTCTTGCATATCAATAAGCAAGAAATTCTGCAATATTAAACTAACAAACTACCTTTCTAATTTCCAGCTGCTGATCACATAACAGATGAACACTGAAGCAAGCTGATAAAGCACATATGCATACTTACATAGGTGTGCTCTCTTCTGCGTGGTGACCTGGAGGCCGAACAACAGCAAATCCATTCTACACACAAAGAATAAGAAAATGAAGAAGTGAGACAGAAAGGAAGGTTTATTGCACAAAGACGGATGCAGAAGTTGCAGGCAGAAGAGTTAATTCTGCTTTGGAACTATGCGGTTGTTCTTGATGGTTTTCTCACAAGACTGTAGCAGTGGACGATGCTCTCCCACATTTCTGTGGGGGGAAAAAGTCCACATGAATTTTATGGAAATGGGTTGGTACAGCATTTCCTTCCATTCAGGGAAAAAAAAATATTCTGCATGAGGTCACTGAAACAGCAAACGAACTGGTCCACCTGAAGACAACAGCAAGGCCCTCAGATGAGACTGGAATAGTGATTTAATTTGTTGCTCTGGTTTCTTTCTTCCTTTTAACTGGTGCATAAAAACATTCACCAGCAGTCTGTTGTTCACTTGCTGATGTCCTCAAAGATTTTTATGACTAAAGCCAGATGATGCTATTAAAATGAAGCTAACTGGACCTCCTGCATAACTCACCCGAGCCGAGTGCTGTACAGGGCCTATATCAAAGCCAAGTGTTATTTTCATACCAACCTTCAGCTCTCCTGTGGCTACTTTGAAAACGAGCTCAATGACACAGCCCACAGCCAGGCGAGCGGCACCGGACGAGTGAACTTCGTTCCAAATTGTGTCACTGTCAACCTAATGGAGACACATAGGAACTATGTTTAGGAGCAATGAGGACAACCAGGAAACAAGAGACCCATGCTTTATAAAGAAGTTATTCACATGTATTAAGTGAATAAATGCATTCCATTTAAATACATTAATGTTAAATGCATTAAATGCAAAACTGATCTTGACAGTACCAGGGCTGGAACCCCACCAATGACTGTCACATCGCCACTACTGAGTGTCCATCCAACCAAACGACACTCAAGAGATATCCATTTGCAATGCTAAAGGGTCAGTGCCATAACAGAGGAGCAAATTCAGCACTCAATCACTGTAAATGTGCAGGTGTCTCCTACCAATAGTCCTACCAACACCACGGTATCAGTATTTCTTTTCAATTGCTGGAGGAAACTGATCCCAGATGAAATAAAAAGGTTTACAAAATCATTCAATGATTCTATAAAATGAAAAAAAACCAAACAAACCACAATAAAGAAGGTTGTTTAATAATGGACATTTAAAAGACGCCTGCCCAGGACTGCCAGGGTAAGGTTATGCTGACAGCAGCTTTCCCTGGGGAACCATAAGATCAACCCTGTCTCATCAAAGCTAACAAGAGATCTTCAACATCTAGCTGCTGACTGGAGACATTTACTTCAACACTAAATATCTGAGAGGACCAGCATCCTCTGTATTTTCCCCCTGAAAATGTGCGAACAGGCCAACGGCAAGGCAAGGCATTCTGCAGCCATCCCCATGTTCTTATTATATGAGATCATGTCCTAATTTAAACAAAAAGTGAGAAGCATTGGCTTTTACCACATTCATCCCCCAAACCGTACAAAGACGAGATTAGTTTGCAGACATGCGTTGAAACGCCTGGGGTTTTTTTTACTGCCATTCAGCCATGACTCGGCAGAGAGCAGAGGGGAAGGGACAGCTCCCAGGGGTGCTGTTTCCAGGCTGAAGCTCTGGATCTCCTCCGCTGCACCCCCGGCTGTCTTTCAGGCAATGATGAAAGCCAAGCTTGTTTGCTTCTTGCCAGTCACAGCCTTTGCAAAAGCCAGAATGCTAGGACTGTCCCATGTCAGGACAGCTTGGCTGCTCGGGAACATCATAGGATAATTGTAACATTTCTCCATGTGAAAGATCACCAGCTATTTTTCACATATTACTGTGTTGAGTGTATTTATGGAAACAATGGCAGAGGAGAAGGAAAGAAAGAGATTATTTGTTGTGTCTGGCATCAGTCTGCTCACTGAGCTGCAGGGAGATGCAAGTCACCCCACACGAGATTGATCCAGCTCCTTCACGGCTGGGCTAAAGCCAGTGGAAATCATCCCAGGCCTGTCATCCAGGAAGACTTCTGGCAGCATCTGCATGGAGGACGGTTTTGAAGTCACAGTAGACCAAGAAAGCATTCAGAGAGCACCAAAAAGCCATCTCTGTGCGGTAAGGCTGGCAATACGTGCACTGTCTCACAACTCTAGGCAAAGCCACTGCATCAGTGGAAAAAGCCCCGCAGTGACTATTTGTGGAATGAGGGCTCCTGCGAGCCCCCATAACATGAGAATAGAAGTACAATGGGGTCTGTTATGCACAACACCTCCAGGAGTACTGGATCAGTACTGTGCATGTGCAGGAGGTGGGACTGATCTGACCATGTCCCTCCAAAAGCCCCTAGTAAGGCAGGAAAAGACCAAACTGCTTTTCCTCCCTACTGACCAGCACGTTAGTGCTCTGCAATGGTCCATCTTTGGACTCCTCATCGGCAGTCCTGTAGAAATGTAATGGGATGGTCAACCTGCTTTGCAATCAGGATGACACCACTACACTCCCTTGGGGGATCCAGCAGTCTTCATCCTCAGATCCTCTTTCCCAGTATCTGTGAGTGGGAGACACTCATGATTTATACAACAGAGAACATCTACTTGCCTTTTGCTAGGAGCTGACCACCTCAGTTTCCCTGCTCAAGTGAGATACAGCTGCACTGTGCAGTCTGGGCTGAGCACATCTAACCCATCTTTCTTGGTCTTGAAAGAAAAAGCTATAGGACACCAGTAGGTAAGAGCTTCCATCCCTGCCCAGACACAGCAAGCACCAGGCCCCTTCTACAGATGCAGAATTGCAGAGGGACATCTTCATTCACCATGAGACACCAGAGAAATGGAAATACAAAAAACCAAAATTCACATGTCCTAAGCATGGCTTTGCCTGAGGGACTGACAGACCCTCAGATCTCTTCAGGCATCTGTTCATGCCAACCTTCCCCATAAAGCATGCAGAAGTCACCAGTGCCTGAGCAAAGCATTCAGGTCCTTTGATGCCTGCAGAAACTGGGCTCATGTTGGCAGCATTTCAAGAAGAATGAGGAGGGCAAGACAGAGTGGTTTTAAAGAGTTATTATTTCTGCAGAAAGAAATAAAGTACTTAGAAAAAAGTATCCCACCTGTGATTTAGAAGCCAATTTCAAGGACTGCCATGCCCCCACACTCAGCTCCCCAGCAGGAGGAACACTGGATCCAGAGATGTCTGCTGCCACCCGCAAACTCTCCACTGCCCCATCCCGCAGGCAGACATCTCCAAGATAAGGATTTAACACCCAGCCACCTTCCCTGGAACAGATGTCTGGAGTCTGCTGGGCCCTACTCCAAAGCAGCATTTCATCATCTGTGTGACTGTGTTTGAACAGTCCCACTGAAGCCATCAGTGCTCTGCAGCAGGGGATGTAGACTCTGCCATGGTGGAAAATGTTATTAATATGGCCCTGAGCTGGACTGCTCTCCAGCTCTGAAGCTGCTGCTGTTTGGTGCACAGGCTGCTGTTGACCCCTCCATCATTCCTGAATTCTGAAGTTCATTACAGAGGAGACGCTATTTGGCTTTCCCTGCCTATGAGCTCTTTGATGTAGCTGCCATCACAGGAGTTGTTGCTGGGACAGCACATCAAGCCTTACCATCTGGAAGGACTTTGCGGAGAGAGGAAGCATATTTCTTGCCTTTTGTTGATCCAACAGCATATATTTCTCTTTTTTCTCCCGAGCTGGAGGATACAACTGCATCAGAGACACTGAGTCTTCCACATCTGCCGCTGTTGGAGCAGTTGTCCCGGTCAGCACACTTGTCTTCTTGAGAATAATATTAATGCCTTGCTCATTCCAATAAAGAAGCTGATGTTTCTGCTAGGTGAGCCTGCAGGAGAGGGCTCCTTTAGAGGTGGGGAGAGGGACTTCAGCGCCTGGACCTGCTGCAGGCTCTTAACCTTCGCAGCACGTACTGTTATAAAATGATGAGGGAATGTGGAAGAGGAAGGGTCAACAGTTTGACACAGGTTCTTTTCTACAAGGAATGTCTAAGATATTTCAGGGAGATTTTCTTCCTTGTTACTTGAAGTCTTTATTAATACACATGATGAGGTTCCTACTCAAACTGTATACTATGCCGTATACTAACGTGCAGCTATTTAAAAATGAAATGTGAGGAGGGTCTTATAAAAGGTTTCATTATTCTAATCTTTTCTTTAGCTAAAGATAAGCTAGCAGATAAGAAGTTAAGCACAGGGACAGTTGCACAGCAGCTCCAGCCTCTGCAAAGCGCAGGGGAACGAAGGAGTTCTGCTTGTCCCTCACCACAGCTCATCATCACGCTTCGGCGGCAGCACCACATGCTGTCTGTGCTGCCAGCGAGTTGTCTTTACCTAACCACGTCTCCTACTGCTCTAAAGCACTGATTAAATAACCGTGCTTACATTTTGTTCTTCTAAGACTTGCTAATTAGTCTCTTCTCATTTACATTCCATGGAAATCCTTTTTGTTGTCTCTGCTCTGCGATAAATGTACTTTGCTTGCACAGGTAAAGATTTTTAGACACTCTAATCGAGACCTTACAACCAAAAATAGAGTAACGTATTCTGCAAGACATCAAAAACATTAAGATCATTTTTTAAAGCCCTAGATCTTTAGATATTTTTAGAATGTGCACAGACAAAGAAAATACTACACACAAAAGAAAACAAAGTTATTAGCTATTGTAAGATCAAGTCTTGGAGTGTTTTGAAGAATCTGGATGTAAGTATGCTGGAACTATTTTGCAGATTTTCAAAGCTCAAACTCCTTTCTCCAAAATCTTCTTCTAATTATCCTGGATTAGGTAATGCTCTGGTGCATGTATATCGTACATTAAGAAAAGAGTGTGTGCTGCAGAGAAGTGAAGGTAACATCCTAAGTAAAAATACCGCATACTGCACTTGCAGATGCTGCTAAAGATCAGAAGGAATAAATTACTGTTGTTTAAATCAGAGCTCACATCTGTTGATATAAGTGCTTCTGTGCTTTCTTCCTTTCCCACTACGATCAGACGTCTGCAGATGGGAGGAGGTTTGTCAGCATCAGCTACAGCGATGTGAAAGCTTCCTCATATAAAATAAACCAATGGGGGGGAAAAAAAAAAAAAAAAAAAACCCGACAGGAGTTTCCAAGCACTGGGGAACAAATTTACCCTTTACCTCATTGATTCTGAGACAGTGTGACTTATTTTTTAAAGACAGAGATCAAAAGGTAAAATGTGATGAAGCGATTTGTGCTAAGCTTTTTCCTATTCCTTCACTCTAACTTAGTCTCGCTTGCTAGTAAGAACAAGTCATGGTTGCCCAAGCGCCAGATTTCATCCTTCATCCTGGCGCCTAACAGCTCTTCTTGGGCTTCTTCCCCATAAACTGCTCTACGTCGCCTTTCAGATCCATCTATTCTTTTAATCTACATAACATCCCCTACTGAAGAGAATTGTGTTTAATTGTTTGCAGAAAAAGAACTTGGTTTCAAGCTTTCTAGCCCATAATTTCATTTGACACCCACATCTCCTGAATTATAAGGAACAGCAATCATTCAACTTTTACCTGTTGCAGATCAGTCCCCCTCCAGCCCGCAGGCATTGCTTTGCATCCAACACTGAATTTCATGTGCTATTTAGTTTTATTTACTATTTAGTTTCTCATTATCATGACACCATCTGTACATCTTTGCAGGCAGCTTTTGCTTTGATGACCCCACATAAATTTAATACCATCAGCAAAGGACACTTGCTTATGTCCCATCCCCTGCATTGCAACACTTAGTGAATACACAGATTTCTTGGGATTGTAATTCTGACCACTATTTCCTACCTCCTAACCAATAATAAATCCAGAAGAGGACTGGTCCCACCTTATTCTACTAATTTTTAAAAACTTCTTTCCTTTTTTCTTTATGGCATCATGTTTGCCCCCTGTAAAGCATTTGGTAGACCAGTATCAAGCTCTCCAGGGAACATCCTCCTTGAGAAGCAGTCACCCAACTGTAAAGCTGTCTAAGCATTGTGGTGAGCTGAATGGAAAGACCCATGAAGCATCCCCTAGACCGCACTTATCGTAAGTGACAAAGTCCTCTGCTGAAATAAATCCCTTCTCCTTCAACCCTGGGCTACAAACCATTGGTAGTCAAGATGACATCCTACAGGTGCTCTAGTCATCACATGCACCTTCATCATCAGGAAAATATTCACCAGTATGAAGTGACTGGAACCCACACAAGCTTCTTACAGCACCAGAGCTACCTCTCCACAACCTTCTCAACTTGTCAGAAAAAGACAAAACAGAGACTGATTACTGCTTAGCAATGAGTGATGTTCTGCCAACCTGGCAATCTCAAACAAGGGAGAGGTCTAAATAAAACTCCATCCCTCAAAAAAGCTATATGACCACCTTGCAGCCTGAAAATAGCCTGCCAAGCAACAGCAGAAAAACACCCTTAAGATCTCTTGCTAGAAAAATTTGAAATAATTTCATTATACCATAACAAGCACTCAATCTCCCAGCAGTCTTCACATGCTGAAACTTCTCAGATTTACATTACACCTCCTCTTGCATGAAAATTCTTCATAACTGATGTTTTACCCTAGGCTCTGATTTTTTAAAATATTTTTTTTCTGACTTCCTCAAAAAAAAAAAAATTACATGCATCTCAAAAATGTCTTGTCATCCTCTTTGGTGCAGAAAACAATTTGGGTTTCATCTGCTACTGAAAGGCATGCTCTGTGGCCCCAGCTATGATCCCACTATAGGGCTTCTTCCAACAGTTTCCCATAGCAAATCAAATCAAGAGCAACTTGTCTCACAGAACTGGCACGCTAACAAAGACCACAGTTTTCCCTCTATTTCTTCAATAAACATACCACGCTGCTAAGCCAGCTTTCTTGACAAATCTCACACTTCGAAAGACAGTAGAAAACGGGGTTGAAAGGACGTCGTGCAATCACCATACGTCTCTCCTACCCCAAAGGAGATGATCTATGCTTAAACCCATCCAGAGCACGTACAAGTGCAAAGCACTTAATATGCTATAGCCAATTTGCATCCCAAAAGCAGCAAAAACAGTGTTTTCCTGCATCAGCCACAAAAGCAGCAGAAGTACACAAATAGTTGGCACTGTATCCCAAGGTAACCAGGGAAGGAAATACATTTTTATGAAAAATCTGACTATCATACAGTTGATTACTAGTAAATTACTGGATTTAAAAAAATTTTCCTAGAAAACATGAAAATATCTGTTGGGATTGCTAAAACACTGTACAAAAGTCAGCAATTGTTTTATTTTATATTTAAGGGTCTGTGGAGACAACCAACCAGCAAGTTAACTGCAAATGCTATCTTTATTACGAGCGTATCGATAATACCAGCACTGTGGAGTTTCCTGCCTTGATTTAGGATTTAATGCAAGACTTCTGGGATCACGCTAGGCTCAGGCACTGTCTCTACTTGTTACCATTCAGTCTTCATTTGCAAATGATAATTTTTGCTTTGAATGGCATGCCTGACTGGAGGGCAGAGTAAATCCAAACCTTTTAAACTCTAGCCAAAAATTTGCCATGAATTAGGAGACTGCAGCATACAATACAAATAAAATATCTCTACGAGTGCTCAGTGGTGGCGGTATGAATAAATGCCAATTATTCTTTTTTTTTTTTTTTTGATGGGATAATTTTCAAAGCAGCGATTTTGCAAAGACTCAGGAAGAAAACAATTTTGTTTCATTTCCATAACAGAATCCAGACCTCTAAATTCAACCTCACGAGCTACAATTATGCATAAGAACTACCACTGTGAATTTTCAAACACAATGCCTTTTATTGTCTCTTCTCATTCTTTTCCCTTCCTGTTCTCTGAGATCTTCTGTACTGTCACCCTCCACAGAAATTTAGAGCAGAAAGTCTGACTTGAAAGGAAAACTTTCAAGTTTTTAGGCTTCAAAGGAAAACAACAACACAAACCTTCCACACAAGGTATTTGAATGGTATTTGGGTTTTTTCAACCTTATAGGAACAAAACCCAACAAATCTGTCTTTTTATTATATGGAATCTTGACAGATGAAAACTAATATTCAGCTTTTCTGTGACGGATTGAGGGGTATTTTAGTCACCTCCTTCAGAATTCACGCATGATTGTCCCAGAGCTCGAGAAATGAAAGATGCTAAATACTGAAGACTGCAATTCCCTTGTGCTATGTAACCTCCGAGACATTTCATTCTAGGACACTAATGTAGCCCAGACACAAATACAGCAACTTACTATTTACAGGAACTTCCTAAATATTGTCTCCAATATCCCTATTTTATTAATATGTTTTCCACCTGCGCTAGGAGGCAGGCAGCTCTGAAGTATAAATACTGAAGATGAAACACCTACGCAGAACGAGCAGCATGAAAAGCACATCTTGCTTTCCATGTAGAAAGCATTTTTGGATTCAAGGGTTGCTTTCAAATGTAGTAACCTCTAAGCCATTAAACACCACTGCCTGGGAAATGAGGTTTCTCCTCCTAAAAGGCAGAGACGAAACATGCCTATGAATGTCACACACACTTCAGTGCTCCAAAATAGTTTAAAAATCTTCACGCTGCTTTTGAAGAAAGGCACGTGAAGCTGTCGCTGCAACCCCGCACCCCAGGCAGACCCTGTTTATGGGTAACATTTGGTTGCAATTACCCACTTGATGGAATGCAAAGCAACATTTTTTGTTACCAATGGGACTGAGAGAACAAACAGGACATTATTTACACATTAAAGAGAGTACTCACCCCGACACCACCACAAGGAAGCCTGACAAACATCGATGTTAGGGAACCTGTAGGAAAAAAAAACATACTCAGTAGGTCAAAAAGTCAAAGTTCACCAGATTTTGGTCCAATTTTACAGCATTGCTGCAAACTTTCTGAACATAGTAACAGACTGAGGGTTTCTTGCAATTTTCAGACAACACACAGCCAACCCTGTTACATTACAATGCATACCTACACAATAAACACAATTGGGCTTGTTCAAAAGCCTTTCCAATAGAAAAGCCTTCTATAAATCACTTATTTTTATGCAAGGTTTGTGTGCTGTCCTACATTTTAAGCAGTCATGCTGACTATAAATGATTGAGACATTACCAACAACTCCTCAGCATGTCTTCTCAGATGAACATATTAACCCCTTTCAACCGAAGGAGGACAGGAAATCATAAAAACAGCCTAATTATCAGTCATCTGCACAGTTACTAGAACACTTTGGAGTGCATGAGCTTCATAAAAGATGAAGACAAAAAATAAACCGGTGGCGAGCAAACCCAACATTAAGAATTTGAGAAAGATAGAGAAAACCATCTGTAGGGCTCATTTTGCATCTGTAAGAATTGTAACATCACTTTCTGGGCTTGTATATGAGCAAATTATCCTCCATGCAAAATTACACAGGTTTATAAAACATATACTGAAAAAAGAAGACGCTGTCTCATATCCGTCATCACCCTACATGCATGACTTGTACACGTGTCTGCGCCCTGCAGGCAAACAGGGAGAGGGAAATCTGTGCATGCAGGCACTGTAAAAGATCTGGAGTACATTGCCTGAGATTCACGTGCTTGGCACCTTTTTAAAGTTAATGAAAGCTAACGGTGAAATTAACTGTGTTGAGTTTTTGTTCCCCCAGCAAAGCAGGTTCTTGTCCTAATCATGTCTATACTGAAAGAATAAATTCCCTTAAATGCTAACCTTAAATAAATAAATTCCCTTAAATGCTTTGTAGAGCATGAATTAGCCAGGACAGCAGACAGACGTTACTGAGGACCATGCAAACGCATCACATCGCAGACACATACGTTACCCCTGTGACTGAAAGCAGAGTTAATGCATCTGCATTATTAATCTGAGTGCACAGCCAGATTCACTCTTTGATTAGATCCACATGAAAGTTCTTAGATCATCCTGCCTTGGACCTCCTGTCACATCTTTCACTGCTAATCCACCCATTATTTTGATATTTATCTTCTTGACAACAATTTATGATTGCTCTCCACAAATTAAAAGCAGCCTTATTTGCCTAAGTTTAAACTTGTTCAACAGGTTCCAAAGCTTTACACTGTCTATCGGAAGATGGATTTGTATTTTTCATCCTCAGACTTTCAAGGGCTTTAGCAACACTTCCAGGGGTAGAGTTGCGCAACCTGCCTTGAAGCTACCTGATAAAGCACAGCAAAGCGGATCTTTGTGATGCTCAGGGTCCTCTGGGGAAAGTAACTTCAACAACGGTGGGCTTCTGTGGCAAGTCTCTTCTCCCACACGTGTAAAGAAGGGTACTCTTTGAGAAGGGAGTAAGAATCAGAAGTAATGTGCTACAGGACAACTGCAGAACTAAAAGTAACCAGCAGAGCCACAATGACACCCGCTTACAATTCTGAAAAACCTGAACTATTTAGCCCCTTCCCGCTTTCTCCTGAAGAACTGCCAGATGAAGGGACATCCCCCTTATCATTTGCAGAAGCTTAAAAAGAAACATCCCGTGTTTTCATCCCCTAGCTTTACAAGCTCTTCCTTTTAGGCTGAGGTTTCTCATGCTTTTTCTTCTTCACAGACATATCAAAGGCAAAGAGTTTACACAGAGTCAGCCACCCGCCACCCTATTGCAGTCGTACACATGTCAAGACATTTAGGTCTAACAAACTCACATTTCCACATGTGAGCCTCACACAAAGCTTTGGTCTCAGACTTCAAACCTGCCATACGTTTATCCTCTAACATATTGAAAAGAACCCCGCAAAGCTGCTTGGCAAAAAAAAAAAAAAAGCCTTTTTAAGTCTTAACAGGAGAGGATGGCTGAAGAACAGGCTCCTTACAGGCTTGCTCACCTCTACACACAAATGCATGCACCAAGGTTTTTCAGGGAGGTTTTCCCAACACTGTGGAAGCCATCAGATTAAGAAACTGGTTTTAGGGCCAGCATCACCCTTCCTGTCCTGCTCCCAGTGGAGAACTCTCCCTGGGTGCTATGCAGACATTCCAGCCAGGCTCACTACTTTTGTTATTTTGGCTCTCCATGCTGTCCCTCTTGACTCCTGTCCGTCAAGCCGCCAACTTATTTTCTCCTGCCTGGTGGGATGACTGGCAGCAATGCTGAATGGTGAACCTGTTTGCTCTTCCTCCAAGCTTGATGCTTGGCACAAGTGTCAGTGCCAGCTGTGGCCCATGCACAGCTCCACATACAATGGGAGGACAGCTGGGCAGTGGGAAGAGGCAATCCACTGCTGTCTGGGCAAAGATGGTCACGTGAGCTGGCAGAAAGTTCCACTGCTAGTAGCTAAAGGCTAAAAAGGTGCCAAGTGGGTTTAGGAAACAAGGTCTAAGCTCAGCTAAGAGCTACTGGCAAGCCCTTCCCACTGGAGATCCTGGGGACCTGACCTTCTGTCTATGGCTGCAGCCTCAGAAAACTAAAACACAGCTTCTTGGCAACATTTTGGGGGATGGCTAGACCCCGAGGTGTAGCCCTAACCAAGCTCCAGTCTAATATCCATGAACAGGCTAGTCTTAGAACTGATTTGTTGTGAATGTTGCTCCTTGACAACTTGGTCATCTTTTCAAATTACACCCAAATAGATCATGTTTTGTACTGAAATACCCTCAGAATTGTTTCTCTTCACTGGAGGAATAAACTTAATCTCTACAAAAGAAGACATGGGGGGACACAGCAGAACTACAGCAGTACTCACAGGCAGAGCAAGAGTTTCTCCTCCCTCAGGTTCTCTAAACAAACCATCAGGAATGGTTCAGCAAAATCTGGGTATCCCCAAATCCAATACTAACCAAATAAACTGTCTGTATCTCCAAATGTATCTGTGGAACTACTGATACAGATTGTGCCAAGAATCAAAGAGAGGACACAAAAGTATCTCAAGACCATCTGACATTTGAATTAGCAGGCAACACACAGTGTTATCTCCGTCCACCCTAAAAACGTATCTTGCAAGGGATATCCCCTAAAGGAGAGGGGTTAGGGTGACCCACGGCCTTCTCAGCCCCCCATACAGATCATGACCACTACCAGAGGCAGAGTGCTAACCCTGCCTGCTCCATGCTGGTGAAACCAAAGGGTCAGATGCTGGAGGACTGCCTGGATCCCACCACAGCACACAGGACACATGTCCTCACACACCTTCAGCACTATGGGTCAAGAACTTGCAGAGAGATCAGTCAGCGTGAAGGTGGTGCAACTGCAAATGAGGAGCTTTCTCAGACCTACTGGTGAAGATTTACAAGCCGTTTCTTTGGACTGGTGGATACGCCTTACACAAGGGGTGGGTTTTACACTAACAAGGATATGACATCATAAATTCTTCAGACTGTACATACTAATTGCACTATCATTCACCCAGAGGTGTCTACTTTTTGTTTCTCTGGGTTCTAGAGAGGTGGTAAGTTAGCCATAAATACAGCGCTAATTGCATGTTTAAATAACTGGCTAATAGCTTTCCTCTTTGGGGATCTAATGTACATACTGAATACGTTGCAAAATCTTTCCAGCTCTTTTGCTGAAACTACTACATCATACAGGCCATCAAGTTAATCCTCTTTTTATATCATCCAATGTCAAGTTAATCCCAAAATAAACTTTCTCAACTTTCAGGTTCCAGAAACGTCTTTTTTTTTTTTGCTGATCCCCACGTGAGAACTTCCCAAGCTGCCCCTCCAGCCTATCACCTAGTGCTGCAAAAAGGCACAAAGTAAAAGGAGATGATGATGTCTCCACATAGGTAAGGTGCTAAAATCAATGTGGTTTGATTGCTATGGGGGGATTGGTTATCTGAACAACCACCCCCTAGATTTTTTTGCAGGGAAAATGTCTGGTTTATGGCAGATGCAGCCCTGTTTCAGGAAGATCCAGTCTCCAGTGAAAGGGATAAACAATCTTACTCCAAATTAAACAAATGTAAGACTATCTAAGAGGCCCCTGCATCCTTCTTGCAGATTATCCATACAAAACTGACAGCTATTTGTTGATGTCTATGCAGCTGGTTGGTGCTGCAGATCCAGGTCCTTAGGATGTTCCAGTTCCTACCTAGCAATGGATAACTTTCTAACATGCAGCAAAGAGTGTCCAAGGATAAAATACACTCTAAATCATCCTTCCTCCTCAGAGAGGGCCCTTTTAGGTTTTGAAGACATCAAAGAACAGAAGTTTTAGCTATCTTGGGTTTAGTCATCTACCTGAAGAAAGGGACATCTATCTTGTACCACTCTCAAGCAGACACTGAATGGAGGTGGGAAGAATCCTCTTGGGGACTGCCTAGAGATGAGGATGGAGGGAGCTCCATGTCCCACCTTTCATACTGCTACCGCTAAGTTACTGCCAGAGTCAGGGCTGAGGACGGCAGCGGGAGTGCTGGAGGTCTGAAAGGGGCCACCCCCCCTCCCTGCCCCAGGAAAGATACCTAGAAGTTTCTTGCTGTCCAGTTTCTGTCTGTTCAGAGGGTTTGTGCCGTACAGCAGCGTATGGGCTTCCGAGTGAACTGTCTGCAGCTCTTCTAGAGTTGCTTTTCTTCCACGAATGCACTAAAAGAGGAAAGAAAAGGAGTGATGAAATCACTGATTAACTGCTTAACTCTCATTGAAGAAGTTTTCATTTTCCTTAGCAAATCATAAAACCAGTGAGAGAAACCTAAAATGAGTTCTTACGTGAAAAAATTCATCAGATTTTTGTTTAACCTCTTATTCAAAATATTACCTTGCCATATAAAGTCATCTTTAGATTTTTTTTAATATTACTGCAGAGCATTTCCTAAATTATACAGATATTGCTTGACTACTGAGTAGTCAGGATTTCAGTTATAAGCCATTATAAAGTGATTCACTGTTGAAAATGCATCCCCCCAAAACACCCCTGACACATTCCCTCCATAATTATTAAGCTAACATAAAACATTCTCCCAAAACACTGCTTTCCAGACTGGACCTTTGAGTAATTAAGAGTTAGTTACAAACTTTCTCTTCTAAAACTCATCTTGGAAATCCCACGAGATTATATGGTTGGAAATAGTTTTCATATATGATGATGCATGTTGAGCTGGAAGTATTGTATCGAATATGGTCACCCCTGTTTTTGTTGCCAGCTGAAACCCAGAAGGGCAGATGCACATTGAAGTCAAAACCCTGGCTTCACTGAAGATCATGGCAAAGCTTTCACTGATTACCCAACTTCACTTTGCATTTTACAAATCGGGGATCTTTTCCCCTTTTTGTCATAGGGGTCCAGCATGCCTTTAGGGCTTATCTTTTGTTGCCATCACCCATTTGTGAGGGAAAATATGTTTGTAAGAACAAAGTGCTACTTGGAGAAGCTAAATTGTGGGTATACAAGGACCATGCTGTGGCCTCTTACACAGGAGCAATCACTGACACAGTGACTCTGTGCTGACACAGAGTCAAGGCCTTCTCACCCCACCCCACCAGCAAGTGGGCTAGGGTGCACAAGAAGTTGGGAGGGGGCACAGCTGGGACAGCTGACCCCAACTGGCCAAAGGGATGTCCCACACCATATGATGTCATGCTCAGCACATAAAGCTGGGGGAAGAAGAAGGAAGGGGGGACATTGGGAGTGATGGCGTTTGTCTTCCCAAGTCACCGTTATGCGTGATAGAGCCCTGCTGTCCTGGAGATGGCTGAGCACGTGCCTGCCCTTGGGAAGTGGTGAATGAATTCCTTGCTTTGCTTTGCTTGCATGCATGGCTTTTGCTTTACCTATTAAGCTGTCTTTATCTCAACCCACGAGTTTTCTCAATTTTACTCTTCTGATTCTCTCCCCATCCCAGTGCGGGGGGAGTGAGTGAGCGGCTGTGTGGTGCTGAGTTGCTGTCTGGGGTTAAACCACAACACCCCCTCCCATCCAGAACAAAACAAAAAAAAAAGTAAAAAACAAAGTAGTATTTTATATGGCTTAGAATTACTTCATATTTTTTGTCATTATTTGGACTAAAACACTATAAAAAGAGTTGTCATTTGGGGGATTGTTTCCTACAGAAGGAAGGACAGGATTATTCCTCTCTGCAGTAGTAATACTGAAATATAAATAGTTAACAGCAAAATATCGGAAAGTTCTGAAAGCCTGTTGTAGAGGTCCCAGGGTCACCCAAGACGCAAGGCTCAGCAATGAGCCTCCTGCTGTGCAGCCCACGCAGGAACGCATGCACCTCCTGCACAGCCTTCACCCTGGCTTTGTCGAAGCCAGTTGCTTTTTTAAGATTTCCATGTTCCTGGAGAAGCAGAGTTTCTAATGAGAACAAAAAAAAAAATTGATAGCTTAAAGGAAAAAAACAGGGAAAAAAGTCACACTCCTAAAAAGAACAGACTTTCAAATGGAAAACTTGTTCTGAAGAGAAGGTGAAACTGTGCCACTCACTCCTGAGAGCTGCTGCCACTCAGAAAGCACTGCCGTGTGCCGCTTACTTTGCAGGAGAGTGCTACAGACATGACGCTTCAAAGGCATCGGCACTTCCATCCAAGCAGTGCCTGCTTTTGCACTGCGCCCCCATCTCAGGCTGCAGCCTGGCCCAGCCAGAGCATCCCGGGGTTGAGTGTGCTGGGGGCATGGGGACTCCAGGACCTCCACCTCTGAAGCATGGTCTATAGAACTCGGAGGATTTTTTTGGTCTCAAACCTTCAGCGTAAGCCTCCATCATGTGTTGCAAAACGCACAAGAAATCACTTTGCAAAACTGTTGAGGCATCAGGCAGCAGAAATCAAAGCACGGCAGGAGCGCTTGTGCACTCTGCCTCTCCTAATTTTGGCATTTCTGCTCACCAGTTCCTCTTTCATTTACTCTGCGCTCTGCTCCACCACCTAGCATTTCCTGAGGTTAATGATGAGGCAAAAATACAGCATCCCATTAAAGAGGCAATAATCACAAAAATGCTAGACCCAGAAGGGATGGAAATATCTGGCAAATCCCCCTTGAACTTTTATCCTCTCTTTCTTTTCTGTTTGTGGAAAGCCTGCCTCAGTCCCCCCTTACAGGCTTTTACAGCTTCCCTCTAACCCATATGCCAACTCTCTTCCTTTGAACAAGATGTACTGACCCATTTTCAGCTGCTACATTTAGGGGATGTACAGAAATAGCATTTTGTATTTCTTGGCGTTATGTGAAGACACGAGGAGAACAGCAGCCCGTTGCAATAATGTGCCAGCTCCTCCATGAATGCGAACAGCTTCAGCTCCCTGGGATGGGGAAGGGCTGCTCCTGTTTCAAGTCAGCAACCCTACCAAGACATTCAAGCTCCATGCACTTTAGGAGGGTGACAACAGTACCCTCCCCCCCACATGACACCCAAAACCAAGTTAAAACTACAAGTAGATGGAGAACTTCCTTCTGTGTTGCGAGTGAAACACATTCAAGGAGAAAACTACTACTTACTGAAAAATTATGTATCGCAAACATGACATCAAGCATTGCCTGGTTAGAAGGGATTATGCTTGAGATGCTTTTGTACCTTTCTCATCTCCCGTCTCATGTGCCACAAGCTTTGCCCTTGGCTCTAACACAAAGACACCAAGAAAATTAATTAAATCCTCCCAAAATAAAGTTGGAGAACAAAATGTATTCCTCACTCCTGTTTCCAGACCCATCATGATTAGTATCTCAGTCTATGGCTCAGCCTGCCATCCACACTCCTAATTTGAGCAGTTCCTTGCTTTCCAAGAGCTCTTAAGTACTGATTCTCTTACCTTTGAGGGTTCACATTGCCTACTGAGATTGCTTGCTCCGTATTACTCTCCCCCCGCATCATGTGACCTCCTTCCTGGCTGCTAAACCCCGGCTTTATGTCTCCTTCTGCACAAAACCTGACCTTTGTATCACCACACCACCTCTCCTCTCCCACTGCTTTATACACATCCTTCTGCACTGTTCATCCATTTCCTTGGAGCCAGCTTTTCCTTTGCATTTTGGACAAAAGAAAAACCCCACTAGTCTCTTAGTTTGCATTTTATTCACCCTTTCACCCCATAATGTTTCAACAGAAGAGGATATGAATCTTGAGCGACTGCGAGCCAGATCTGATCCCAGCTGCGGCCCCCAAAAAGCCACAAAAAGCTATGAAAATGGCTACAAAGCTTCTCTCCAGCGACCAACTTCCCAGGCACCACTGCCACCACCTCCCACACGCCCTTGCTGCTTTGCGATGTGAAACCTTGGGCACAGAGCGGCTCTCCAGAGGCTTCACTGTCGGGACCTGTCTTGCACTCCAGCCGGACACCCGCCCGATGCTGTGCCAGGAACGCCATCGACATGGCTCTGCTCTTACAGATGGCCCAGCCCCGGGTCTGGATTTTCACGTCAATCCTCCGCAGCTGCAATTAACCTTCAGCTAACAGTCCTTGTGTTTTAAACAACGCAGGATTGCTGCCAAGATGTGCTTCGAGACGGACCCTGGTTGAGGAATTCATTCTTCCCCTATCCTGGTTGAGCAGCCGGGGGATTTGATTACCTCCAAAACACACAGCAAAACCTATCGATTTCCTCACGCTCTTGATCAAGGCTGGGAAGATTACACTCTACCATGATTGTGGGTTTTCGTTTGGGGGGCAGAGTCTTTTATTGAGATTGCCTCAATTAGTATAATTGTTGCTTTTAAATTCTGAACGTACACCAGAGTAATTGCTGTATTTTATAAAGCTAACTTAATTAAACAAGCAATACTCTAAACCGCAGCTGTCATTAAGTTTGGACAACTGCTTTCACTCCAAAGGGTCATCTTTAAACTTGTGCGACTCTGCCAGACTCTTACCTATCACACCACAAATCTGGCGCACATTTTCCCCTCAGCTGGACATAAAATAGTTTTTGGACAACTTTAGCATATACGTATCTGTTTCACTGCTGAAAAATGAGAGGCAGAGGGGGGAAGTGATGTGGTTTTTTCTGGTCTAAAAATATTCGTGCCCCTTCTGGATCACTTCTATTGCCTCCAAGAGAAATGGTAGGAACTCAGCACTTGGAAGGTTGTCTAGGAGCCTCTCAGCTGCCTGATGAAAACAGGTTTTCACTTAGTTCATTTCTGAAATTTCAAAGCAAGCATTTGTTTGCATGCATGATAAAAATATTTATCTGTGAGCCCTTTCCTGGCTTGGGGCATGTGAGCAACAGAAACACCAAAAGAACATTTCCAGGCGACAGACACCGAGAATTGTTTGAGCTTGCATGAGAAAGCAGAGCTGGGATTTATTTTCAGCATGCAGCCGTGAGGGGAAGGAGAGCTGTTAAACTCCTTCTGGAAGAGGACAGGGATCCATCGGAGACTTGTCTGATCCCACACAGTGTGCATGGGATTACTTAATACACAGGGTGCTGTGTTTTTAATCTGTGTCAAGCAACTACTTGCAACCAACAGAATCAAAACTATATCCGCACCCAGACCAAGCAAAGGGCTGTTAAGGAAGGAAGGGGAAATGTGAGGATAAGGAAATGTCAAAGTTCAAACTGTCTTTTTACAAATATGAGTTGTAAGAAATGGAAAGAACTACATAATCACAAACAATTTTCACATCAGGCCCTTGGGCTTACTTAAATCGCTCATAACAACTGAGACACCGTGAGGATAAAAATGAGCGTGCACATATGTGTCCGTCAGCAAGACCAGCTTAAAAAAAAAAAAAAAATAAAATAAAAAAAATAAAACAGGAGCTCAGCAAAAAGTTAAGTGCACAGCTTGGCAAATTTCTGAGTGCTATAATCCAGGTGCTGCTGCTGACTCGCTGCAGACCTACTACTAATTCTGAAAATACTCACCTCTTTCCAAGTGTCTATAGGGCTGCTATGCAAATGAAGCAGTTATAATCCATTAAAAAATCATAGATATAGATACATAGCAGGCTGGATTGGCAGTAAGTGTCATCATCCTATCTAAAGAGCTCTGTTAAAGTTTGCACATCACATGCACACTGCTGTGGGTGGAGACAGAGGGCACAGCTCATGCTGTCCTGCATGGAGCTTTGGCATAGGCAACAGGGATTTGAGACAGTAATGTAGTTATTAAAAGTAATCATAATTATTAGGCCAGACTTCAAAATTCCTTTTAAATTGATCGTATAATGGAATATGTGCCACAGAATGAAGCTTTCTACATGTTAAGTTTACAGCATTCCTGACCTTGCAGC